GCCATTATACCTGAAAAGTAAGGGAAAACAGTGAATTCGACATCATCAAACTCACCCTTCCACCGCAAGTCAAGTGAAAGGGCGATGAAGTCGTCGAGGAACAGACTTTGACCCAAGCCCTCGACTGCATACTAAAACGAACCACACTTCTATTGGGGGACATATAGTTAAACGGGCAAGGTTCCCAAATCAACCCCTACTACTCGGGGAAATCGACCCCGACGTCATGAAGTTCATCAATCTATCATGAACTTCAATGGACGTTCATGGATGTTCATCGCAGAACCCATGAATGTTCATCCAAGATTCTTCCAATCAAGACGAAAACTAAGCGTTTAATCTAAAAATTCTAAAGAAAACATGTTGTTAGGTGGACATGGCTTACTTGGATAAGAATGCCTTGAAGAACTCTAAGAAGAAGTTGAGAGGAGATGATACATGCGTAAAAGAGGAAGGTTGCAGAAAACTTGAGAAATGATAAATGAAACCCTGGGGTCCCCTTTTTGTAGGTGGCTCACATCCCACAAGGTTTATCAGGAAAAGTCATCATTAGTTTAAGCCTTTTGGACTCCCCATGAAAAGATGGCACCCCAAAGCAACAACTACGTGACCCAATAATCAGCCACATATCCATTCTCAAGAGATGACACGTCCACGACTTCAACACGAAACGTCGTGCTCGAGCACGATGCAGACGCCTCACGCGGTGAAATGCTCGACACCATGGCTAAAACATGTATACGGGCATATTCGTCATGTTCCACCTCGAGGGCGAAATAACGCTCGACATCGTAACAACCCCTTGAAGACGGGCACATCGAAAAGGAGTCAGTGGAAGCTCCCCACAACCTATATACTCCTGTCGAGCACCGGACGAACAACTGACCCAGTTGGTCTCACAGCTCGCGTGTCCATGAGATCCCTAACACAGTCAAACAAGTTGTCCCCGACACGGGCAACAACTCATTTCCGTTAGAGGACTACGATCTCCCTTCTCGAATAAATTCTCCCTGACCATAAAGATGGACTTAAGTCATCACCCTTTTACCTAAGGGTAATAACTTGGGGGGCTCCTGATCTGGGCTGAGCCCTCACTTGCCCCACTGATGGGGAGGCCCAATCCAACACTCTTGCATAAGGCCCAAAGACAAGTAGCCCAAGTTGGGGATTGTTGGGCAAATCCCCACGTGTCCGTTGGGGAACGTGACCCACGTGACCGTATCACCACTATCATAATTGTCCTCAGGGAATCACGAGTCCAACACCTGTTCTCTCGGAGCAGTTGACCGGGGAGGAATCCACGTGCTGGACTTCATACACACGTAAGCCCTGACAGTCTTTATTGTTGGGCCTCATCGTGACTCAACATTGGGGACCTTGGCTCAACGCTGGGGGCTATAAATACCCTCTCACTTGAGAGGGCCAAATATTTATTTTTTCATACTCACACTCTCATACTTGCTAGCACTCTCCGTAAATTTTACTTTAACATCAAAGTGTCTTACAAATACCCCCAACTCATCTCCAATTGCTGTTCAACTCACAACTCGTAGGCCTCGACGATCCATTCTGGTCAGATACGATCAAAAAGAAAAATCACACATGAATTGATATTCTAATTAACATGGATTGCATTTGTCTTATAATATAGATTGATATATTTCAAAATAGATCAAATATTTCATTTAAAAATAATCAATCAGTAAATCAAATCGGTAAAAGAAACTTGAATCTTTTTAAAAGATTGTTTACGATCTAGATTTTACAATTTGATTTATTTAACTTTTATAATATTACTAATAAGATTTAAAAATATTTTATGAAATTTTAAGATTTTGAAAAATTCAATAAATTTTTTATTAAAAGATAAGTAAATAAACTAATAGATAAATTCTACAATTGATACGAATATTAAATCTTTTAACAATAAAATGATCATTATAAAAAAAAAAAAACAATGTGACTTTAAATCCGTGTTCTCCTAAATAACTTTAATTATTAATATGTTATTGAAACACAATTTAAATCCATGTTCTATTAAATAACCTTAATTACGAATACGTTATTAATCATGACTTTAAAATCATGAATATTATTTTGGAATTCACTACAAAAAAATTTATTTTTGCAATACAAAAATTATAAAATCTTGTACATGTCAAACAAATTCACTGTTTAAGATAAGATGGTGATGTTGACTTAGAAATTGTAAACTAAAATAAAAAATATGAAATATTTTATATTGTCTCGATCATATTAATGTATGAAATTGAATAAAAATGTATGTTTAAATGTGAAAAATTATTTTTCAAAAAGAATAATAATGATTTTTTATAATAAAAATATAAGTTATAATGTATTAAATAGTAATACAATTAATTTTTTTTTAAAAAATAAATAATAAAAAATATTTAATTACGATGTTGGTTACTTATTTTATTTGATTCACATAGCTATTCCTCATAGTACAAATTTGAATTTGGTCACCACTCACATTGTTCACTAAAAATTAATAATGCGTTCATTTTTAAATATAAAGACAAAAATAATCATTTAACATAAAAAATGACACTCAATTATAAATTATAATATTAATAATAATATAAAAATAACATAGCATAATATCAATTAAAAACATTCAAAAAATATAAACAATAACTTAAAAATATTAAGTTATCACTTTTATGTTGACCATAATAAATATATTGATAGAAAAAAATAAAATAAAATTATAATTTTAGTTTTCTTATTTTACATGATTTTTATAATTTATTTTACTATTTTAAATTCAAATAATTTTAATTATTTCTTATTTTTTCACGAAAAAACGATGATGATCCAATTTCTTAACTTATATTTTTTTTATACAAAGTTCTAAATATGATAATTTGTTATATTTTATAATTGACACATTATTTAAAGGAATCATGATGTTAATTTAAGCGTAAAAATATGAATATAATGGTTCAAATTTAAAATATGAAAATGATTTAGTAAGTATGGTAAAACAAAAAAAATTATAATTATAATTAAGTAAAAAAATTAAGTAAGTAGAAAGAAAAATATTAGAGACAATTTAAAAAAATATCAATCATTTGAGTAAAGATGTCAATGAAGTGGGACAAATAATACATTTTATCTTAATTTCCACCTTAGAATTTATTCTTTGTCTCTATTTTGGATTTTAATACGAGAGGATTTTGTCTCCCATCTCTGTTCCTGCGGATTTCCACAATTCTTTAAGGTTTTTATGGAGATTCATAAACATAATTTTTTAAATTATTTGTAATCAAATTAATAATAAAAAGTTTGAAAATTAACCACGAAAAATTAAGAAATTAATTCTTTAAGATAATTTTTTTTAAACAATATTGAATTTATACTTTTAAGAATTATGACCACCAAATTTATAAACTTGTTAATAAAATAATGATATGAAATAACAAATAAATTATACTATTATAAATTTGTTTATAAAATAAATTATATAAAATAAATTATATAAAATAATAAATAAATCTACATAAAAATTCAAAATTATATATAAATTGAGATATTGTGATATTTTTAATAACAAATAAATCAAGGAAATTAATTGACATTCCTAAATTTGAGTGAGCAGTTGATAATTGTATTTTTAATAAAATAATATTTTAAAAATGATTTTACAAAAGAATTCACTAAAATCTATACTTATCTTTTTACAAGTTGTGAAAATCTTAGTTAAATATAAATTCATTTTATTGATTTGAAAAAGAAATTTATGTTTTAATTTTTATGATGTTTTTAATTAAATATTTTAAAATTAATTTCACAAAAGAATTCATTAAAAACTATATCCTTACTTTTTATAAGTGGTAAGAATTGAATATAAATCAATTTTTATTGACTTGAAAAAAATTGTGATTGTACAAGATATGTTTGAGTTCTATAAATTTTTTAATTAAATATCAAAAATAGTTTTATCATTAATATTTTTATAAAATATTTTCAAATCTCAATTCTATATACCCTTTAATCTCAATTTTAGTAAATGCCAATTTTTATTTATTTTTGGGGTACAAATTCTATATTCTAGTAATACAAATAAATGCTTACATAACTTACCTTTCTGGTCAATCAATTAAAAGTATAAAAAAAACTCAAGTTGTAATCTTTTTTTTTTTAATAAGAAAGTACCTAACTAATAAAATCACACAAATTATCTTAAAAATATAAATTAAAATTAAAAAACACAAATGAACCTAGACAGAAAAACAAACAAATGAAAACATTTTTCATTAGACTTTTTTTATAAAATTGAGTAAAACCATAAATAAATAAATAAATAAATAATTAAATAAATAAAAAAAATAAAAATCCACAGATAATTTTAGGCTCACAGTAATACTTAGCGGATGTTGAAAACCCGAAACCCAAGCGGATAATAAATCCAAATCTAGAAAAATTAATGACTCCTGATAGGCCGTATCGTGTCCGTATCACACTTACGATAAGTTGTTTGACTTATCAAAAACGTGTATAAGTGAAAGTACTTATCAAATATGCTTATTATCTTATTCATACCAAGCCCTGATTTTCATCTCATCTCACGCTATTTAAACTGTCTGAATCCATGTTTTCGTCGCTTCACACAATTCTTCTCTCTCTATTTTTTCTTCTCCAAATCCCTAGCCCCTTTTTTTCTTGTATAAATACTCATCATCCACAAGAGTTCAATCACATGAAAAGCTAGAGAGAGAAACTAGAGCGAGAGAGAGAGAAAATACTCTAACCAAACCCTTCCTCGCATTTCTCGTCCTCTCGATCTGTACCCACGAGACTCGACGAGATTTTTACAGGTTAGAGTTTCTTCACCGTCGCATTTTCTCATTCTTACCGTAGTGATTTTGATGTTTTTGTGTGGAATTGTATTTCGATGTTTCTGTTGTGAAATTCGTTGTTCTATGCTTCAGATATTGTTGATCTGTTCGGGGTTTAGATCTTTCTGCGTCAACGTTATGTCTTCGCTTAGCAGAGAACTGGTTTTTCTTATACTTCAGTTTCTGGATGAAGAGAAATTCAAGGATTCTGTTCATAGGTGCGTTTTTTTTTCATGAATCTTTTTATTATTTTTATTTATTTGATAATTTATATTGTGTATTTGAATTTGTGATTTTGTGAATGTGAAGGTTGGAGCAGGAATCGGGTTTTTTCTTTAATATGAGGTATTTCGAGGAAATGGTAACGAATGGGGAGTGGGATGAGGTGGAAAAGTACTTGTCTGGTTTTACTAAGGTAGATGATAACCGATACTCGATGAAGATCTTCTTTGAGATACGGAAGCAGAAGTATCTAGAAGCATTAGACAAGTAGGTTACTTGTGTTAGTTTTTTCTAATTTGCTTGCTGCTTTGTGGATTTTTTTGTTGTTGGTTTGATGTTAAGTTGGTAATAAATGTTGCAGGCAAGATCGAGCGAAAGCTGTGGATATTTTAGTGAAGGACTTGAAAGTGTTTGCGGCATTTAATGAAGAGCTTTTTAAGGAAATTACACAGTTGTTGACTTTGGATAACTTTAGGTTTGGATAGTACCCTTGAAAGTATTTTTTTTTTTGTTGGTTCTTGTTTTTCCTGGCTTTGTGTTGTGACAGTTTTTAAAATGAATTTGTAGGCATAATGAACAGTTGTCTAAGTACGGGGATACAAAATCTGCTAGAGGAATAATGCTCGCTGAACTGAAGAAACTAATTGAAGCGAACCCTTTGTTTCGTGAGAAGTTGCAATTTCCTTCCTTGAAAAACTCCAGACTGCGGACTCTAATCAATCAGAGGTTGTTTAAAAAATCTGATCTGATCTGTATAATCTATTCGGTTTTAAGTTCTATGTTATTTACATTTTTCCCCGGTTGTTATTGTTGTTGATTTGCAGTTTAAATTGGCAGCATCAACTTTGTAAGAACCCAAGGCCTAATCCTGACATAAAGACCCTTTTTATTGACCATAGTTGTGGGCAACCAAATGGTGCACGGGCTCCATCCCCTGTTACCAATCCCTTAATGGGTGGTGTCCCAAAGGCTGGTGGTTTTCCTCCACTTAGTGCTCATGGTGTAAGTTAAACAACTTGATATGACATTTTACATATTTCATTAGTATTGCTCTTCTATACTTGTTAATTAACGACTATATGCATTTTACAGCCATTTCAGCCCACCCAAGCTGCTCTTCCAACATCCCTTGCTGGCTGGATGGCTAATCCTTCTCCAGTTCCACACCCTTCAGCTTCTGCAGGAGTAGGACCCATAGGTTTGGCCACAGCTAATAGTGCAGGTAATATCACAACAAATAACTGTTTGTGGGTGTTTCTAGAAATATGTGGTCCTGGAATTACCATTGGTTACTTGTTTGATATGCATTGTTAATATCAATTATTAATATGAACACTTGCCTGATATGCATTGTTATCATCAAATATCAATATGAGCACTTGAAATGGAGAAAATATTTGTAATTTGAAATAGGCTAGCTTATGATATGCTTTAATGAAGTGGAATTGCACACTTAATATTTAACTATACTGATTTTCTTTTGCCCTTTTTGCTCTCTACTTATGCCACTGGTAGCAGCTCTTTTAAAGCGCCCTAGAACTCCTCCTTCCAATAACCCTGCTATGGACTATCAAACTGCAGATTCAGATCATGTAATGAAGAGAACAAGACCTTTTGGCATATCAGATGAGGTACAATACTTGCGTTCTATTTTCTCCTTTGTCTTACTCAATGCAAACATGGAAGCTTGAATCTTCTTATTAGTGCAACAATGTTGGGATAGCTTTTTCCTTCATTTTTGAAACTAAAATCCCTTCTCAAAATGTGTTTTAGAGAACCATTTTATATATTACTTCATATGCACACTGGGAAGTCAACTGAATAACAAGTGTATTTTGATGATTCTTTTCAGAATTATGTTCGTTCCACAGATCAGTAAGTTTCATTTATGTGGGGAATATAACTGTTTTCTTTATGCTGTAGTTGAGAAATGATTATTCTTAAAAATTTCTTTGGGGGGACTAGTGTATGTTGTTATTCTAAGGCTGTTTAAGTGGACACGTGTTTATACTTGAGTTTTGTTTAAAATCGGTCTTAATTTAAAGCTTCTGTTTTACAATCTAAGGCAGTTTGTTTTTTCAATTTTAATTCTCAGGGTTTCCTTTCACATCTTCAGATGTAGCATGTACTGGTAGACTCGAGTATCGGTTCATTATATATAACTAAGCGCTGTTTATATATTTTTTGTCAGGTCAATAATCTACCAGTAAATTTGCTTCCCGTTGGATACTCCAGCCAGAGCCATGGTCAGAGCTCTTATTCCTCGGATGACTTGCCCAAGACTGCTGTGATGACTCTCAACCAAGGTTCGATTGTCAAGAGTCTAGACTTCCATCCACTTCAGCAAATTCTACTTCTTGGTAAGCCTATTTCTGTGGGATTTTGACACTTAATAGTTTACTTACATTCTTTATATTTGCCCAATTGATTGTATTTACTTATCTATTTATTTTTCTTTTGATGGTTAGTTGGAACAAACATGGGGGATGTCATGGTGTGGGATATAGGTAGTCGTGAAAGGATTGCTCATAGAAATTTTAAGGTTTGGGAACTCGGTGTATGTTCAGTGGCTTTACAGGTATGGATCTCAAAATGCTTATTTCCTGTTTTTTTTTTTAGACACCTTGTCACATTGTGATATCAATTCCATGATTCTTATGTAGGCGTCCCTTTCCAACGAGTACACAGCATCAGTTAATCGTGTGGTGTGGAGTCCTGATGGAACACTTTGCAGTATGGTTTACTAAGTTTATTTTTGCTTCCATATTCACTGAATGTTTCTCATGATATTTCTGCATTCTGCCTTATATACAAATATGTAAGGAGTTCTAAAATTTGCTTTATCCTTATTGATACTTCAGGTGTTGCTTATTCTAAACATATTGTCCACATATATTCATATCATGGCGGGGATGATCTGAGAAACCACCTAGAGGTTTGTTTTGTCTAAAGTTAATAGATGTTTTCCGGGATCATTGTTTGTCTATTATTTAAATTAAAGTTTTCCATTTATCTTCTGTGATATATGGCTTCTTATTTAGTTTTTGTAACTCAGATTGAGGCACATGCTGGGAGTGTCAATGATCTGGCCTTTTCTTACCCAAATAAACAGCTTTGTGTTGTAACATGTGGAGAGGATAGGGTCATCAAGGTTGGTTTACCATATACATATATTTAATGGATCTAAACAAAACAATTTTTAAAAGTAAAAGTTTTACAGGTATGGGATGCAGTCACTGGTGCAAAGCAATTTACTTTTGAGGGCCATGAAGCACCTGTATATTCTGTATGCCCTCATCACAAAGAAAATATCCAGGTAATAATTTATATATGTGTATTAAGCATCAAATGCTTGTGTTTTTTTTTTTTACACTGGGGGAGGGATGCAATTACTAAAGAAATTCTCTAATTGTATGAAGCGTCAGTAATCAAACTCAAAGAAGTTCCTCTCTAAGTCAATGTTTCTTTATCATGTACATACTTTGTTGGCAGACTGCTTTTTTTTTTAACCATACCCCAAGTTCCCAACACATTAAGCAGAAAGTGTTATTTACAAGTTCTATTCATGGTATAAATTGAGGATACATGATGCGTCAACTCAAATGATTTATTTAGTGGTTATGCTTGGTCAATAATTGTACTACTATATGGAGAGTATATTTTTATATGGGAGCTTGTCCTTGTAGTATTTCAAAATTGGTGGTTACTTTTGGCATCTAGAAAGAAAATAATATTATTTTCCAAATCTATTTTGGTTTGCATATCATACCCGCGTACTTGTAAAATTTCCAACTATGTTCTGATTTGGCTCTGCAGTTTATCTTCTCAACTGCAACTGATGGAAAAATAAAGGCATGGCTGTATGATAACGTGGGCTCCAGGGTTGACTATGATGCACCTGGCCATTCATCTACCACAATGTCATATAGCGCTGATGGGACAAGGTTCACAAAAACTCTTTGTTTCATTTTATCTCCCTTTTTGGTTTAGTGTGTGAACTTGTGGTTTAAATATCTGTTTACTATCCATATATGATTCATAGGTTGTTTTCGTGCGGAACAAATAAAGAAGGGGAGTCATTTCTTGTTGAATGGAATGAAAGTGAGGGAGCCGTGAAACGTACATATCATGGTCTTGGGAAGAGATCTGTAGGTGTTGTGCAATTTGATACCACTAAGAATAGGTTTTTAGCTGCTGGTGATGAGTTTACGGTCAAATTCTGGGACATGGATAATACTAGCTTGTTAACAAGTGTTGATGCAGATGGTGGATTATCGGTAATTATTGGTTTGGCATCTTGGTTTGTTTTCTGATGATGATGATTACTTTATTAGAAAGTAATATACGTTTTTGAAACCTACAGGCTTCTCCATGTATTAGATTTAATAAGGATGGAATACTATTGGCCATCTCCACAAGTGACAATGGAGTTAAAATTTTAGCAAATGCAGAAGGTATTAGACTGCTCCGGACTGTGGAGAATGCTTCCAGAGTTGCTTCTGCAGCTGCTGTGAAGGTAAAGATATCCAAATTAAGTTTGTAGTTTTTTTTCTTTCTGATAATAAAATTTAGTTTACATTTAATCTACTGCAAGTGCATCTTTTGAATCCTCCATGTTAATTCAGCCACCTACTATTGGAACTTTTCCTTCTACCAATGTTGCTGTTGGAACAAGCCTTGCTGATAGAATTCCTCCTGTACCAGCCATGGTTGGGCTTGTGAGTTTCTCCACATATCTATAATTAATCTGTCAACAAATGTGGATTCCATTTTTCTGAGGTTGTATTTAATCTTGTACTATTTTATTTGTAGAATAATGATTCTCGAAGTTTAGTTGATGTCAAACCCAGAATTGTTGATGAAGCTGTGGAAAAATCTAGGATATGGAAGTTAACAGAGATTAACGAACCATCACAATGCCGCTCCTTGAAGCTTCCGGATGGTTTATCATCAATGAGGGTATGATCTCATACTAAATTTGTGTATGTTCTTCATTTTCTTTTGGCGTATATTATCATCAATGCATGCATGCATGCATGCATGCATGCTCTGCTTTCCTATTGAATTATAATAACTATGGAAAAATAATTTCATTCTTAAATAAATGCATAATCTGTTATGTTGCATGTGCTGTACGTATGTAGTGTACTATGGCATAAGTATTTTGCTTATAGAATATCACTTTTGCTTGTCATATCTTTAGATTCTTTGAAACTTCAGTATCTTTGAACTGTTAAATATTGTTTCAGGTTTCTAGGTTAATTTATACCAACCAAGGGGTTGCGATTTTAGCTTTGGCAGCAAATGCCGTTCACAAGCTTTGGAAATGGCAGAAAAATGAGCGTAACCCTTCAGGCAAGGTAATGAAGTATATCTAATACATGGGTGTATTTAGATTAAAGGTTAACGCCATAAGATTGTTATCAGCAAGAACTTTTCATGCAGGCCACTGCAAGTATTCAACCACAACTATGGCAACCATCTAGTGGAATATTGATGACTAACGAGATAGGTGAAACTAACCCTGAGGATGCTGTGTCATGTTTTGCACTGTCCAAGAATGATTCTTATGTTATGTCTGCATCTGGAGGAAAAATTTCCTTGTTCAATATGATGACATTCAAGGTATGCAACTTCTTTTGTTATTTTCTAATTAATGTATGGTCAAACTTGAGGAATTATTCAATTCTACGGTTTCATAAGCTTGTCACTAATTCTTTTTTGTTGAAAAATTTAATTTAGTGGTTTTTATTTCGGATCATTCAATAGATGTGATGATTAAAATAGAGAGCTTAAATAGATATAAATCTAGTGTTGTCAAAGGCTAGCAGCACCGGGTTCAGTTGGCTACCCAGTATATCATTATACACGCTCTTACCTCATTAAAATTGCTTGCATGCCATATGTGTTGGGCTTATGAATACCTTAGATTGGTTGCATCAGTTTGGTGAAATTTGTTTGGAGGTCAAGATGTTTTCATTTGCTTTGTTTATCATTTTGTCTCACACCATAATGGTTCTGCATTTTTTGGTTGTTCTTATCTTTGATCTTTGAGCAGTTTAGCCAAAATGAACACTCTTAAAGAACAGTTACAAGCTCATGTAGTTTTTAGACGATAGTATGCAATCTACTTATAATTTGACTAAGTAATTTAGATGGTAGTATCCAGCTTCATAGTTTATTGTAGTACTCCCAGAATTTTTGTTGTTGCTATTATATATTGAGATTAGATTAATCTCTTTGAACCCTAATTGCAGACAATGACAACTTTCATGCCACCACCACCAGCTGCCACATTTCTTGCATTCCATCCTCAAGATAACAATATTATTGCTATTGGCATGGATGATTCTTCCATACAAATTTACAATGTTCGAGTGGATGAGGTATTACTTGGTTAATTTAATTTTCATAAGTTTGAGGATTGTTTTTAGAAGATTGCATTAGCCTCAGTTTTTTCTTTTTTATCTCCATGCTTAAAATCTATCAGTTTAGTTTTGTATTTATGTTATTTATTTTGAAGATTTTGACATTGGCTCTTAAATAAATGTTTTCATGAAGGTGAAAACCAAATTAAACGGTCATCAGAAGAGAATCACTGGTCTTGCTTTTTCTCACGTTCTAAATGTTCTTGTATCATCTGGAGCTGACTCTCAGGTAAAGAATTTTGACTAGATGCTTTTTGCCTTAAAAGTAGAGTTGCCACTTGCCAAAAGCTAGAAGTCATCTTTAAGGAATAGCTTTTGTTTGCCTACATAGTCCAGAGATTTTCAACACTCAAAAAGGCCGTGTTTACCTTAGATTTCACATTGTTTATTTGTGTATATGTGGGCGTTAGTAATAGCCATTTTATTCCTCGTGGAAGTATGATATCACATTCTGTTATTAACTATGTATTTAGTGGGTATCAAGAATGCACTCACTGATTTTATGTCAAATAGTTGTGTGTATGGAGCACGGATGGATGGGAAAAGCAAACAAATAAGTTCCTACAAATGCCAAATGGACGAGCACCAGCACCTCTTGCAGACACTCGTGTTCAATTTCATTTAGACCAGACACATTTACTGGCTGTTCATGAAACTCAAATAGCAATATACGAGGCCCCAAAATTGGAATGCCTAAAACAGGTGTGCTGGTTTATACTCTAAGTTGAACTTATGCAATATTTTACTTTGGTCTGGTGGAGCGCAGTGTTTATTTAATTGCTAGCTCCATCTGATTTTTGCATTTCAATGTGATCTGTGTAGTTTAAGCCATGACATACGCATGTTATGTATTTCATTTTTGTTTGATCAGTGGATGCCTCGGGAAGCTAGTGGTTCAATCACACATGCTACGTATTCATGTGATAGTCAATCAATATATGTAAGCTTTGAAGATGGAGGTATTGGTGTTCTTACTGCCTCAACGCTCAGATTAAGATGCAGAATAAATCAAACTGCTTATCTCCATCCCAATCCAAGGTGCGTTGTGTTATCAATGGTGTATGAACAATCGTTTGTTGTAATTATATTTTCTCACCTCCGATCTTTTTAACAGTCTGAGAGTATACCCTCTTGTGATTGCTGCAACAATCGTTTGTTGTAGTTCTATTTTCTCACCTCCGTTCTTTTTAACAGTCTGAGAGTATACCCTCTTGTGATTGCTGCACATCCCTCGGAATCCAATCAATTTGCATTAGGGCTTACAGACGGTGGAGTGCATGTACTTGAACCACTAGAAGCAGAAGGAAGGTGGGGTTCTCCGCCTCCAACCGAAAACGGTGCTGGTCCTAGCACTCCTTCAGGTGCCTCTGTCTCAGAGCAACCCCAAAGGTGACACACTGCATTATGCAGTACTGTCTCTAAGGACCTTTGAGTGTGTATTTGATTGCTTATGGTCCCGCCGCCGCCCCTGGTGCCTCCATTCAGTTTACAAGGGGGGAGCTTCATAACATGTGTTTATAAGATATAGGATAAATCAATTAAACCAATCATCTTGTTAGTGGCTTCCTATTCTATTTCTTCTCCATGGGGTTAGCTGAGTATATTTACTCATTTAGGATTATTTCTGAAGTGCATAGTGTAAATTCGGCTGGGGCGTTGCAGAGTGGAGGGTCATTGTTATTTTTTATTTAGGTTTTTCCATTTTGGTTGGGTCTTATTTTATGTGTAGATTTTTATATATGTAGTGAACTAGTCGTTATAGTTTTATTTTTCCCAACTAAAGTGAGATACTCTGATGTTCTCTTGTTTTATTACGTATACCTTCGATGCAATGCAAAGGAATCTTTACACAAGTAAAGTTTAAATATTTATCAGGAATAGAGGCTTCAATTATTGTACTAGTTGTTATATCTTTTGCAAGATCCTTTTCAAACTTTCGTTTGTCTCAGTTATATAGCATTAATATAAAGCTCTACAAAAAATTTAATTTACCTATTACTTTATTTTTTTAAAGTTCATTCTTTATTAATATAATAAATTTTCTTTGGAATATGAAAAATTAAATTGAGTATATTTATAAACAAATGAAAATTTAATATGCATAAAATAGATACTTTTAATTTTTTAATATACTTAAAATATGTCATACTCATAAGTTTTACTCCTATATATAAAGATGTGGGAGGTAATAATTTATTGAAATTTACTTTGAACGCACGGATTTTATTAGAATATTTATAAAATAAAATTTGTATTTTAGAAGAAATTAATTGGTATGCATTGTGTAAAAAGTTTTACACAATCAGTGCATCTGAATCATTCATAAATAATATTTTTGATGTGATTTAAGAAAACATCAATCACATATAAATATTTAATGAATTGGATGTATTGATGATGTAAATTTTTTTTATACTGTCAGAATATCTCAATCATTTATAAATAATATTTTTGATGTGATTTAAGAAAACATCAATCACATATAAATATTTAATATTTAATGGATCGGATGTATGGATGATGTAAATTTTTTTTATACTGTTAGGACGTAACAATTAAATTCATTTTAAAATATTAACTTTGATAAATATAGTTTAATAAATAAATATATTTATTTTCAGTTATAGTTATGTAATTTTATTTAATATTAAAGATTTAATAAATACTATCGATAGTTATAAAATTATTTTATATTTTCAGTATATCATCCATTTTTTTAAGTATTAATTTATATTAAAAAATATTTAAAATAACAGTATTTGATAAACTAAAACTGTAATTTAAAAAAAAAAATTAATATAACATTTTTGTCTATTCTATAAAATTCAATACAATTGAATTGTATATTATAGTTGTTTATAAAATTAATGTAAGAACTTTTAACAGAATTTTTAACGTATTTTATATATTATTGTAGCATTTTGCATTTTATTTTTTTATATTTATTAAAATTCATAATAATAACTCATTTGAATTATAATTTTTTAATAGACAATAGACTCATATAATACATATAAGATAAGATTAATTAATACTTTAAATATATTTTTATTGTTTAGTTTATACTTTAAAAAAATAAAAAAATAACTTAAATTTATATTACTTAAATATTATTTACAATATCAATTCAAAAAAATAAAATAATATGCATTATTTTTTTAATGTTTTTTGTTTATTGTACTTTTTTTTCTTCTGATTTATTATTGTTGTTAAATATTTATTTGCATATATATTCAATAGTTAAAAAAATAACTTAAATTTATATTACATAAATATCATTTACAATATCAATTCAAAAATAAAATGACATGCATTATTTTTTTAATGTTTTTTGTTTATTGTACTTTTTTTTCTCTGATTTATTATTGTTGTTAAATATTTATTTGCATATATATATATATATATATATATATATATATATATATATATATATATATATATATATATATATATATATATATATATATATATATATATATATATATATATATATATATATTCAATAGTTGCATATTTTTTTTTTATAATAGTAACATATTATGTGTTTAATTAATTTTCTTCAATTAAAAAATAATTACTAACTAAATATTAATTAAAATAGTTAAATGAAAAATGAAAGATTGAAAGTATAAGATTTGAAATAAATATTTTACTTAGTAATAATATTTTAAAATAATTAGACATCATTATATTATTAATAAAATAAGACATAAAGTACATTATGACATTAATCATCCATTAGTCTCTATTGTTTTGTTTTTTGAAAATATTTAAAACTAACTTAACGGGCTTGTCATAAAAAATTATAAACTAATAGATTTTTAACTTTGTAGATATTTTATAAATAATTCTTAATTTTATAAATAAAAAATAAAAAATTTAATTCATTGAACTTATTATAAAATAAAATGAAAATCTTTAATCTATTTTGTTCATCTTTTTAGATATCATCTAAAGAGAAATATATAGTCAAACTTATATATTACTGTTCTGGATTAGGCATGTCCTTGATCTAACTCCATGCGAGGTCTAACCCAATTATGTCGATCAAGGCATACTAGTCAGTTCTGTTCCTGACTTCGTCGAGAAGCAACTCACACGATCTCGCATCTGGCAGGAGCATCCACGACGAAGACTGATAACTCACACAACCTCGCGTATGACGGGAGCATCCACGATGAGCAGAAGCACCTCACGAGCACCTCCTCGTTGGGCTGACTATCAACGTCTCTGAATATCGCAGTCTTCATGGTTTCGGAAAGACCGCATCCACATTCTCTCGATCTTGCGGAGGAAGTCATTCAGGTGGGAGATCACGTGCGGGTCCCCACTACTCACGTAGGACCTGACAGTCTCCAATTTGGGCCTGCTTGACCAGCCCAATGAGGAGATCTTGGTCCAATGATGGGGCTATAAATATCCTCTCTTTCGAGAGGGTCAGGTATCGAACATATCTTACTCTCTTACTTGCTTGCTCATTCCGAATCTCACTTTGATATCAGAGTGTCTTGCAGGTACCCCCCACCTCACTCTCAAGCTCTGCTCGACGTAAGCTGTGACGGTCCATTCTGGTCAGATACGATCAGTGATGCCGTCTGTGGGAAACAAAACTTCCCCGTCTTTCATTCATCCAAGACAAAAGCTAATCTAACTCTTTTTAGACTGTCATGGCTGATCTCACGGCAGAAAACAACCTGGATGTCCATTCCGCTGACGTCAGCAACAACGTCGCCGACCACAACACCGACATCAACAACGCTGGTCCTGTTTGCCTCAACGCCGATAACAATACTGGTAACAACAATAAAGACCACGCCACCGACATGCCCGACCCCTCAGAGTATAGAGACGGACTGACTGCCTCGTCGTTATCACTATCCCGACGACTCGAAGACGATCATCGTTCTCACCAGAACTATCAGCCGCCCGCATTTCAGGAGGTCCTCGTTCTTGTGGGAGCCGATGCCACGATCAGGGCACTGTTCGCATTAATAAATCAAACAAACTACTTAATTTTTTCGCAAGGGGAGAGATTAAGGGTGCTCGAAGATTCTAGAAGAGCTCTCAGAAGACATATGAGGCTTGATTCTCCCCCTCCCCGTCAGATAGAGGACCGTCCCCAATCTCCCCCGCGGAGACGCAGACGAGATGCCTCTCAAAGTCCTTCTCTCGGATGAATCGGGCGACGCCCTGCGTTGGAGAGGGATCAGCCCGTTAATACGGGGAGGCGTGATCACATTCCCCCACGCCAAGAGAGAAGACCCCCTGGAAACAGAAATAGGGGGAATGGCGAACAACAACGCCAGCCGAGGGATCCTCCCCGCGACCAGGGCCGCCATCATGATTGCCATTACAACATGTCTCCTTCTCGATCTCGAGACAGAAGTGACGAAGACGACCTCCGCGGTCCCCTATCCCAGTCTATTATAGAGGCACCCATTCCCCCGGGTATGGAGAAACCTTCCCATCTGAAGGAGTCTGACGACATTGTCGATCCAGTCGACAATATCGACGGGTTTGAGGCAATGTTGCACTATCATAATGTCAGTGGGCTGATCAAATGCCGGTTGTCCCCCATAAATCTAAGGAAGAATGCGATGGACTGGTATAAGAGCCTCGCCTCGGAGTCAATTACCTCCTGGAAAAACTTGAAAAACCAGTTCATCAGCTCATTCACTGCTTCACGTCGACACTCGAAGACTGAGGCAGCCCTCGAGGCCATCGTCTAGAGAAGCGACGAGACCCACAGGGAGTTTATTGACCGGTTAAACCGCGAGGCCATTCAGATCCCCTGCACTGATCATATGAAGAGATATCTTCTCGAGAGGGGACTCCTCCTGGGAACGGAGTTCAGAAAAGCCGTTGGCATCGAACCAGCGCGGACATTCAATGCTCTCCTCGAGAAGGCTAGGGCCTACATGGACTATGAGAAGAGGGAAGCGGCCAATAAAGCCCGCGACTCAAGGAATCATGGATCAACAAGAAATTCGCAACAAAAAGATTCAGTCCCTCCTCGACGAACGAGCGAGAAGAGGAGGGATGGTAAACCACAGGATTCTCGCGAGCAAAGAGGGCCTGCAGGGAGATTTACTGAGTACACTCTACTAACAGCTTTCCGCGAGCACATCTTGGCGGAGTGTGCTAATACTGATTTCAAGGACGACGGCGTCAGAAGTCCTTGCTCTGCTCCTGCTAAGCCCGAGGCTGATCGGAGAAAATACTTCCAGTATCATTGAAATCACAGACACCTGGCTGAAGACTGTGTCCATCTCAAAGATGCTATAGAGACCCTCATTAAAGGGGGGAAACTTGGGCAATATCAGCGTGGCGACTCCCCTCGTCGAGATGCCTGCGACACAAAGGAGACTGATGAGGATGCCCGACCATCAGAGG